GGAGCGGCCCAGCTCTGTGTCCCGCTCTCCTCGCCGGCCCCCCGGAGTTGTTGCGGGCGGGGCCCCCGTGGAGCCCCCGTGGAGCGTGTGCGTGCCGGGCTCACCCGGCCCCGGAGCCGGACAAACAATGTGAGACTCGGAGGAACAAAAGCCTCGGGGCTTGGGTTGCTGAACACGTCTGAGGCCAGACAAGCCGCTCAATTTATTGGACTTGGTGAGAAAATAATAATAATAATAATAATAATAAAATAGGGGGTAAGACGGTAGAGGAAGGGGGGGCCGGAGGAATCTGTCTCTCAAAGCGTCTTTATTAGGGACCGAGGGCTGCGGCAGCACTGCGGGGCCGGGCTGAGGATGCTACGGGGGGGGATCCTAAACCTGCCGCCCTTCTGCACGGAACTGGGGGGCGTGGGGTGAGTTCTCCCTAAGCCCTCCCACCTCTCGCAGTGCCCTGCGGAGCTGAGCTGGGAAAGTTTGAGAAGGGCCGGGTACGGACTGAGCGCCACTGCCCTTTGCTGACTCTCTCCGTGCCCCTATCCCCAAAATTTCGGAGCGGGGGTGGAGGTCTGAGGTCTCCTCCTCTAATCGCCCCTGTCCAAGGAAGGCAAGGCCGTGCAAGGAGATGCTGTGCAAAATCCAGCAATTCCAGGTGCCTTCATTCGCCTCCCATCTCGCCCCACTCGTGCACAACACAGTGCTGAACCTTGGGGGGCAGAGGTGCTGCCGGGGGGGTTCCGTGCTCTGCTCGGAGCAGCACACGGTGATCCTCGAGTTTCCCCAGCAAGAGAGAAAGGCCGAGCACAGAGTGTCGCAGAGAGGGGACATTCACGCAGGGGGGGGATCTGAAATGATAGGATCCATACCCACCACACCCCCTCCCCTCCCCGCCCCGGTCGGGATGTGCCCCCTCTGCCTCCCCGCTCTGCTGCTGGAGTTGGATTTGGGAGTTAGAGGGGGGAAGTGATGACGGCAGCGCGAGGTTCGCCGTGTCCGCAGTTCGTTATAGAATGGCACATCCCGGTGGGTGCGTCTGAAACCCCCCCACCCCCCGCCTCGTTGTGGTCCCGCTTCGATCCGTGCGAGCCCCGTCACCCCTTCACAGGGCAGCACATCTGGCCAGATGTGAGCGGCCCGGTACCGGCTTTTCCTCCGCACGGCTTTTCCAGCCAGGAGCGAAGAGACTTCTTTCTTTCTTTCTTTTTTTCTTTCTTTCTTTCCTTCTTCTTCTTCTTCTTCTTCTTTTTTTTTTTTTTTTTTTCCCCCATTCTATTTCCTATTTATCTCAGAAATACGCATCTCCGCGGCGTGTCCTTAATTCTCCTCGCAGGCGTGGGGAGATTGCTCTCGAGCTGTTGTGCACGGGGTGGGGGGGGGGGGGCTGGGGGAAAGGAAAAAGAGCAGCGGGCGGCATCTCGGTTCGTGCGTTGCGCATATGGGCGCTTGGGAGCCGCTGGGTGCCCCAAGTCGAGCCTTTCTATTTTATTTTATTTTATTTTCATGCAATAATTCGTGTCAATTTTAAAGCTGGCCATCTTCTAATCGTCCTTTAAGCGTGCGATCCCGAGCCTCGGTCTGTGCGGCTGCTCATTGTATTTGTTTGCATTTTTGTCTGGCTTCAGTTTGCGTAAGCGACTTTGTCGAAAAGCAGCAAACCATGGAGCGGGGGGTTTTTCATTTGCTAATGAAACCCAAAACACACCCGGGAGTCTCCTGCAGTCCTCTCGTGTCCTCCTGCCCCGGGACGTCGCTGGGATGGCAGAAATGCGCCGGCATTGGGAGAGCAGAAGTTTGAACCCGGCGCGTCGCGTTCGGGATGAAGAGCGGTCGGATCGCGGTTCTTCTTCGGGAGGTTTTAGGTATATACGGTACGCGAACGGCTTAAAATTATAGATTTTTATTATTTATTTTTTATTATCATTTTTACGTCGATTTTTTCTAGTAGAATTAAAAGAGGAAAAATGCGGTTATTTCTGAAAAAATCCTCCTGGCCGCGGGAGGGAAGGGGGTTTGCGGATCCGCTGCAGTAACGCCTCCAGACCCCCCCGGTAACTCCTCGTAATCTCCCCATTAGGTTCTCTTAGCCCCGTTCCCTGCTGTCCCCGTAGGACCCGGCCTCAACGCGAGGGCCCGGCGCTGCCCCCACCCCCGGAGCGGAGGGGCGGATGCCCGAGTGGATGAAGTCGGGGAAGCGGTGAAGTGGGAGCAGAACGCGGGGGCTCGAGCGGAGCGGGAGGGCTCTGCCCTCGGTTGCGGTTTTGTCTTCAGGGAAGGACTGGAGATGAACGTGGAGGGGAGGGGGGGGTGAAAGAAGGCACTGAGATCCCGAGCACCTTCGGGGTGCGGGAAAGCAGGGGGAGAAAGAGGGTGAAGGTAATGCTGAGGGCCCAGCAGGGGCAGAGCGCGCTGGAAGCGGGGCCGGGGCTTCCCGTAACGCTGGCCGGAGGTTCCCAACCTCCCCTTGGCCCCCCAGGACCTCATTTCCCCGGCAGCACCTCTCCGC